CTCGTGCTCGCGCTGCTGCACGCGCCTGGGCTGGGGACGTTGAGGTGGCACCTGCTGTTGGCTGCCCCGTGCGTGGCACAGCTGCCCGGCTGCTCGCTCCCGCGTGTGCTGCCCACACAGGGCAGCTGCTGGCGCCGAGGAGGAGGCTCGGCTGCCTCCGGGAGACGCCGGCCGGCCCCTTGGGGGTGCTACGGACAGGGACGGGGGTGTTTGCTGAGCTGTCCCCTTGGTGCAGGTGAGGCAAGGCAAGGTGACCCGCCAGGGCAAGTTCAAACCCAACAGCTACGCGTACCGGACGAAGGCCGGCACCGTTCTGCTCCACAAGTCGACCATCAACCGGTGAGTGGCCTGGGAGCGCGGGGCGGGTCGCTGGGCGCCGCGGCGCCGGCCGGGCCCCGCCGAGGAGCCGCCCGTGCCCGTGCCCGCGGTGAGGACGCTGCTCCCGCGCAGGGAGGCCTCCAAGCTCTACAGCCGCTGGCTCACGTACTTCATGGCGGTGAAGTCCAACGGCGGCGTCTTCGTGCGGGACTCCTCCCAGGTGCACCCGCTGGCCGTGCTGCTCATGACCGACACGGACATCCACGTGCGAGGTGAGCGCTGGCGCCGCGGGGCCTCCCCTCGCTGCCGGGGCTCGTCCCCGCTGCCACCCACTGGTGCCCATGGGCCTCCCCTCGCTGCCGGGACCTCCCCTCGCTGCCACCCAGTGGTGCCCATGGGCCTCCCCTCGCTGCCGGGGCTCGTCCCCGCTGCCACCCAGCCTCTTGCCTTGACCCGGCCCTGGCTGTGGTGGCCCGAGGAGGGGATGATTCACGAGCTGCTCTTGGCATTAGACGTGCATGTGAGCCAAGGCAGCCAGGGGGGCCGTGCGGCCAGGCTGTGCCTGGGGCCACGTCCCCGGGGACGGGACACGGGGCTGGCGCCTGGAGGGAACGGGCGGCTGGGGAGCGAGTCCTGCTGCCCCCGGGGCTGCTCCGGGTCGGGCCCCGGTGCTCGGGCACCTGCGCGCCGCCTCGGGGAGCCCTACGGGGACGGGGTGGCCTTGGGGAGCCCCGTGGGGACGGGGTGGCCGAGGGCACCGCGCGAGGATGAGTGCAAAGGCGAGCGGGCACCGCGGCGCGCTCCCCGCTCCTCACCCGTGCCTTCCTCCCGCCAAGACGACGGCTGGCGAGCGACGGTCTCGCTCACGGACAGCGACCTCCTGGTGCTGGAGGGCGACTCCTACACCATCCGGCTGCTGCGCGACTTCCGCGTGTCGCTCTCCAAGATGGTGGAGACGTGCCTGTGCTACGAGATGGCCGCCATCCCCGGGGACCTGCACCACCAGCACAGCCAGCTGCTCGACATCCTCGTGGATCTGCTCAAAGGCCCGCCCGGCAGCTTCGGCGCCTAGGCACAGCCGCAGCATCGTGTGGGGACTTGTAATTTGTATAAAGATGTTCACAAATGTTTATTTAAATAAAAGTTCTATTTATCCCTTGTGAAGTCATCTCTCTCCATCCTAGAAGATAAATGTTGTCCGCCTGTCCGGCCGTCGGCTCCGCGCATGGGCACCACCGCGCCGGAGGAGGCAGCGCCAGCACCGCCGCAGCCGCCGCGCCGACCGCCGCCAGCGCCGTGGGC